TTATAAGGGGGGGCCGAGATAGCTTTCGGCCCCCCCAAAAATCATTGAATTTACTCAATTTACAATAAATGCAGTGAAATTCGAAACTGAAATGGCTAAATAGGGCTCTGAAATGGCCATTTCCAAGGATCTAGAGCCTCTAATTTTCAAAAAAATTTCCACTCGGCGCCAACCATGGTGGCGCCTCGAGGAATTCGCCCCCCCCCAATCTCGAATGTGTTCCTACGCCCCTGCTGCTCGAAAGTGTTCAGTATGGTGTAGCAAAATTAATTTCCGGAGCAATGAAAGGTATACACAGAGAAAGTGTTACTACCGGCTGCATACGTTAAATAACCGGGGGAAAATACATAAGTTGTTATTTTTGTAGAAAACAGTTAAAGGTTTAGCTCCAAATTATTTGTTGGATCTTTGTCCTGTTCACGTAAGCCAAAGAACTACATACTCCAGTGGCGGAAATCTTAGTGGGGCGGGCGGTTGCCGCCCCCCCCCCTCCCCCACCTTCACGGAAAATTAACGAATTTTCGAAAATTTTGACCTAAAAGAGGGTAAAAACAGTCTTTTCGAGTGCAAATGGGGGGGATGTCGGATATTTGAAAGTTTTGTCGGAAATTTAGGAGGCTTTGCCCCCCCCCCCAGCAGAAAAAGTGAATTTCCGCTACTGATATACTGTATAGGCTTCGGACTAGGAATGATTTAGGTTTACCTCTCATTCGCACCGAGAAAGGAAAAAATCCTTTTTGTATTCTACAATTTTTTATGGAATAATCTTTCTGAATCTGCAACATTTGTTCTCTTTAAAACTGCTTTATTACGTGAACGATTTTATATACCTCCTGTCAATAAATTGGTTTATTTGGATGACCGGTACTTTTCGGCCTTAGCCTACATACAAGATTAAGATTAAACAAGTGCGGTCTTAATTATTATCTCTTTTCAATGAACTGTGTTCTATGTCCATCTTTTACCTGTGGTGCACTTAGTGAAGATGTAACTGATTATTTTGCCCTCTCTTTGCTGCTCTGCGTCCTTCAATGCTTACCCCTGTCAGGCGCCTTGCCGGAAACGTATGGAATGTTTTGAATGTCTTGCAACAAGGTATATATATATATATATATATATATATATATATATATATATATATATATATATATATATATATATATATAAATAAAATAAAAAAGTATACTTACCGGTATGTTGTTACAATCTGCTCGATAGCCCTGGGCGAGAGTGGTGGTGAGTTCAGTTTTGATATTAACATGACTATCAGTCGTATAACACATGGTCCAACCTCCACCAAATGACGTCATGTCACAATATACTTCGAATGGAATCCCTTGACTTTCTCCATCCTGGTCTATCAAATATTTTCCATCACCTTGACTTAAACCTTTATTTTTGATATCGAGACAGCTAGTGCCAGGAAAGCAGCTTGCATTGTATTCCTGCAAAAACGAACATATATTTTGTAATTTTCTTCACATGATAACACTTGCCGACGCCTTGATATTTCGTGATATCGCAAGAATCAAATTCAATAACTGCTTTATTATAAATCTCATTTTTGTTAGCTCAAAATTTCATGTCCGAGCGCACCAGCGGTGTATAAATCACGTACATGGTAGATTCGTAAAATACGACTAAAATACCGAGTTTTTTACGACGAGCATTTACGATAATATTACAGTAATAATAAGCATAATAGCATGTAGATAATAAGCATATAGATAATAAGCATAATTATAAATTTTGAGTCATGTGAAATCGTTTGAACAACTGATCATGAAACATAATAGTTAACCTGCGCCGTAACATGAGAACGGACAAATAGGCTCATTATAACTGAACGACTGTATACATGTATATCTTCACATTCGTTCAACTCAACGTTTTCTATTGGCTGAGGCAAGTTTAATTAGCATGCATATTCGTTTCTTTAGTTGAGCTATCGTAGCGTTATAATTCTTTGTGATTAGCTTTGTATTCCTGATATGAGGGTCCCAATCCCATTTCCCACTTGAAATTTTGGCAAAATCCCAGTCCCAGTTGGATTTTCATTAGAAATCCCAGTCCGAGTTATTGAAATCCCAGTCAATAAACAACCCTTTATTTATCGGTAGAATAAACAGTTTTAAGACCTTTTAAGCCACCGTGTGTGCAAGTGGCGGACACTTTATGAAATATTGGGGGGGGCTCGTGTTAAATTTGAATCCCGGAAATGGCATTTGCAGCATTCTGAGACAC